GTGCCTGGGTGTGTTCCCCCTTGGGTCCAACTTCTTTGAGACTCTCTGAGCTTCCTGGATTTCCTGAAAGTCTATTTTTTTTTGCCAGAATGGGGAAGTTCTCCTTTATTATTTGTTCAAATAAGTTTTCAATTTCTGGCTCTTCCTCTTCCCTTTCTGGTACCCCTATAATTCGGATGTTGGAATGTTTAAAGATGTCCTGGAGGTTCCTAAGCTTCTCCTCATTTTTTTGAATTCTTATTTCTCCATTCTTTCCTGTTTGGTTGTTTCTTTCTTCCTTCTGGCCCACTCTATTGTTTTGAGTCCCAGTTCCCTTCCCATCACTATTGGTTCCCTGTGCATTTTCCTTCATTTCTTTTATTGTAGCCTACATTTGTTCATCTAATTTGTGCCCAAAATCAGCCAATTCTGTGAGCATCCTGATCACCAGTGTTTTGAACTGTGCATCTGATAGGTTGGCTATCTCTCAGTCACTTAAAAGGATGGGCTCTGGGGCTTTGATTTGTTCTTCTATTTGAGCCATCTCTCTCTGTCCTTGTTTTTTTTTTTTTTTTGGGGGGGGGGTCTGGTCGCACCTGTTACAGTAAGGGGCGGAGCCTTAGGTGTTCACCAGGTCGCTGGGTTGTGACATTGTATGTGGGGGCGGAGTCAAAAGGGAACAATGGCGCTTGCTCTGCTTTCCGTGGGACCTCAGTCCCCTCTACTGCTTCGCCCAAGCAAACTGGGCCCCTCTGGTGCCAATTCCCATGTGGATGGGCTTGTGCACGCCGTGGGACCCTCCAAGGACCTCCCCTGTGAGGATGGGTGTCTCTCCATGCACCTCAACTCCCACAGGTGTCCTCAATCAGTGTCCCAAGGCGCTATTTCCCAGCACTGGGATCCTGGGTTGCGTGCACTGCCTTGCTTTACAATCGCCGCCTCACTGGGTCTGCAGGTTGCTGGCTGCCACCCCTGAGCCGGGGTCTGCCAGCTGCTGCTTGTGCACTTAGGGTCCACCCGCTGCGGTCTTGCACGCCCTGGATGCCTTAGCGCCCCCGAATGCCTTACGTGCCCGGTCCCACCACTCTCTGCTCTCCAAGCCTTGACCCAAGCCTGGCTGCTCCTCTCTGCCCCTCCTACTGGTCTGGATGCACAAGTCTAATTCAACTTCTTGGTTGTCCAACTTCCACTCAGATCAATTTTTTGTCATTTCTGGATGTTATTCTGTTCCTAAGTTGTTGTTACCCCTATCTTGGTTGTGAGTGGAGGTACGGTGCGTCCACCTATGCCTCCATCTTGGCTGGAAGTCCAGAAACACCCTTGTTTCATCGTGTCTCTCACTCTCATCCCATACATCACAGCCTGTAGGGCAGGAGTGCCACCCAGCATCCCTCAGAATCAGGCATCACCACCAGGGGCTCCTTCCCTCTGTGTCCTGGCCTGGGGCCAGTGCGCATGCTCCCTCCTTCATTCTTATCCTTTTTTTTTAATGCACACTGTGTGTCCATGACCAATGTATCATATTGGTTTGTGTATTTTAAACTTTTACTTAAGTGGTATCATATTGCTTCTATCTATCCTCTGACAACATGCTTTTTTCACCCAACATCATGTCTTCAAGATTGACTCACGTGGATGTGTGGAGATCTAGTTAAGTCACCTGCCAGCCTGAAAATGCATGGCGCCCAGGCCACGCTTCCAGTGTGCTGCTCCAGGCCAGCGGCTGCGTGTGGCCCTGGTACTAAGGCCAGTCCACCACTGTGAGATGTGGGCCTCTTTTCATGAGAAACCTTGACTCAAGGACTCCCTGGCAGCCTAGCCAAATCTTTCTTGAAATTGCGCTGCCCTGTGAACCTCTTCCTACCCACTCCTCCTTCACGGGGTGCTGTTGGCACCAGGCCTGCAGGCTGGCCTGCTTCCTCAGGCTTCCTCCCTTTATTGTTCAGACATTTCCTCCAGTAAATATCTTGCAGATCTAATCCCATCTTAGTGTCTGCCTTTCAGAGGACATGAACTAACACAACTCCTATGAACTTTTTCTTATTATTCCAGTATATACAGAATGCCACCCTTACGTATGCATTCCATGCTGAGGAGCATTCAGACCGTCTCAGTGTCTCGCTGTTGCCAGTGACACTGACACATGTGATGGTTTCTGCATGATGGGGGATGCACAGCTGGACTTTTCCCCTTAGCCTGGCATCAGGGTGTGTGGCCCTCAATGGTCCCCAATGACCCCAGACTCCTGACAGTCATGCTCTTGTGCACTCTCCTCCCATTGAGTGTGGGCTGAACCTAGCCACATTCTTCTACAAATAGCAAAAGCAATGGATGTCACTTCCAAGATTATTTCACAAAAAATCATGGCTCTCACCTTGGACTGCCCTCAATCCCACACTTATTTCCTCAGGAAGACATACTGTGAGCTGTTAGGTGAGCAGACCCACGTGGCAAGGACTAAGGCCCCCAGTCACCCCTATGGAGGTCACTGCACGAACTTGGAAGAGGACTGTCCCACAGTGGACCTTCAGATGGGACAGCAGCCCCTGAATTGCAACCTCCTGAGTCACTTTGCATCACAGGCACCCAGTTAAGCAAAGTCCTGACCCACAGAAAAGATAATACACATTGAAATAATACATACCGGGTTTTAAGCCACTAAACGTTCAGTAATTTGGCATGCAGGAGTAGATAACTAACACTTTCTTTAAATGCACTCATAAACGTCTAATTGCTTTACCCCAGAGCTAGCAATGGACCCTGTGCTCTTGCCACCATCCTCTTGTAATCACAGGCTCATTTTCATCCTCACTCAGCCTCACAGGCTGCTGGGGACAGTACCATCACCAAGCTGGGCACACCTGTCAGATCTTGACTCCACACTGCTCCCACACTCATTAAGCCTCCCTTCCTCACTCCTTCCTCTCTCCCCCCTTCTTTTAGTATCCACCTGGCAACATCTGAGGTTTAGTAATATAGCAATGGAGGACACCCCATGTGTCGACCTCCAATCCCTCAGAATGTGGTCAGAATTTGGACATAAAGGTTTTTTAAATATTAGAGAGAGGAGAAAGGAGGGAAAAAGAGAGAGAGGAACATTGATCAGTTGCTTCTTGCACACCCCCAACTGGGGACCGGCCCCCAGCCTAGGCATGTGCTCTGACTGGGCCTTGAACCAGCAACCTTTCAGTCCACAGGCTGGGACTCAGTCCACTGAGCCACACCAACCAAAGCTGAAGATAGAGTCTTTAAAGAGGTAATTCGTTTACACTGAGGCCATTAGGATGAGGATGGGCCTTAATCCCATCTGACCAGTGCCTTCATAGGAAGAGGGAATTTGGACAGAGATGCATGAGCACATAGAGAAAAATGGCCACATGAGAACATAAGGAGAAGGCAGCCATCTGCAATCCAAGGAGAGAGGTGTCAAGAAATCAAACCTGCTGACACCTTGATCTAGAACTTCCAGGTTTCAAAACTGTGAGAGAAGCCATTTCTGTTGTTTAGCCCTGACTGTGGTATTCTGTTATGGCTGCTGTATCCGACTAATACAAGGACTAAGGGAGAGGTGACTCTGAACATGCAGGTAAATAAGGGAGCACAATGCCCTGAAGGGAAGGTAAGTGCAGTACAGAAAATAAACCATGGGATCAGGATGGAGGGACCTCAGGTGGCCTGGCAGAGGGATGCACCAGGGTGGCCGAAGCCTGCAAAGGTGGCCTTCTAGCTGAGAAGTAAATAACAAGGAGCTAATTAGGCAAAGGTTTGGAGGCAGAGGGAATGGATTGTAAAAAGGTCCCATGCCTCGGTTTCCTTCGGCAGGTACTTTGCCCCTTGCCATTATGAAAAGTCCAGAGGTCTATTAATTGACACTCTGTTCTGCTCTCTGCAAGCATGGACAGGCAGGCACATGACCAAGATCAGCCAATCACCACCTCTCTGAAGCCCTGATTCCAGAGCAGGGAGGGTAGGGGTAGGAAGAAGGGGCAGGAAATGTGGGTGAGGAGTTTGGTGGCTGGTCCTTGGGACTGCCAGTGCCAAGCTGGTGCCCATAGACTGCCTCCAGAATGTCCTCACCCTGTCCCACAAAGTCCCCTGGTAGTTAGAAAAGGCAGTGGTGCCTGCTGTTGTTAAGAGCTGGCTGCATGTGCCAAAACTGATGTTCTACCAGGGAATGTGGCAGGACCCATGCCCAGAGTCTGGCCCCTCAGCCTTCCTTTGGGGAAATATAGGGTAGGGATGAAAGGGGTAAGGGCGGGTAGCAAGAATTACACATAGCTTCTTAAGGAAAATTTTTCAAACAGAAACACCTGAGGGAAAGTGTGGGGACAGGTTCCAGGTCTACATAATAACATTTTTAAAATTTTAATGGAAATAGAAGTATTCAATGAATCCACAGCTCACTGGTTGGCCAAGATGGGCTCACAGAATATAAAAATAATGAATGCTCACTGTAAAGAAAAAACAAACAAAGACTGACCACACAAAGAATAACACTTTATTTTGCAAATATTCTTCTGGCTGCTTCAAAAAGATTTACTGTGGTAAAATATGCATAACATGAAATTTATCATTTTATCTATTTTCAGGGACATTAAGTACATTCACACTGTTGTGCAGCTATTACCACCATCCATCTATCTCCAGAACTCTCTCATCTTTCCAAATGGAAATCTGTTCCCATTGAGTACTAACTCTCCACTCTCCCTTCTCCCCTCTCCCAGCCCCTGGCAACCACCATTCCACTTGCTGTTCTGTGGATTTGACTCCTCCAGGTACCTCACATAAGTTATTTGTCCTTTTGTGACTGGCCAGACTACTTTTTTAAACACATATACAGATTTTCTATTGAAACAGAATCATACTAAGCAAGGTTTGTAATTGTTTCATTTGGCAGTACAATCACAATAAGCCCACATTCGCATATGAAGTTCTGCCCCCTCCTTCTGAGCACCTGCACCCCCCCCCCCAGGGACAGCCAGATGTGTCACCTGTCTAGTGCGTCCCTGCTGGTGGGCATGAGGTCATTTCCCATCTCTGTCCTGAGCAAGCTTCATTCAGTGAATGGCCTCAGTCTTCATCATCACAAAGGATCAGCCAGGTCTTTAAGTTGAGTGCCTAGAGGTCTGGTTTCTGAGCCACAGGGAGCAGTTAAAACACTGCAGCTCATTGCCAGATTGTACCTAGAAGATAGACATAAAAAGTGCTAGGTTTCTCTGTAACTTTGGGGCTTATCAACAGCCTTTACAGAATACGTTCTTACGTGACTGGAGGAAAAATATCTCATTGCTTCAGTCTGCATTTATTCGATTGAACATCTTTTCATGTTTATTGGATATTTGCTTTTCTTCCTTTGTGAATTGCTTATTCATAGCTTCTGAAATTTAAGGGAAAAAAGTCTTCAGAAATAAAGAGGAATATATACGACCCTCAGGAAAAAAACAAATAAAATTGTGCCTCATTGAGCGTTTCAGAGGGCACATTTGTCAAGAAAAAGAATGTGCTTTGAAATTCCTCCTTTAGCAGCTTTCCAGGATTTTTAAAAAGTATGTGAATCATTAGCATCACAGCAGCTGAAACGATCAGCACCAAAAGCTTATAGGTTTCCTTCAAGCTCCTAAATCTCAGACAACAACAACAAAAAAGGAAGTTATCTAGCATTGGAAATATAAATCTACATTTTCTCAGGTAACCAAGGCCAAGTTCAACTTAACATCATTTCTGGCACCTAGTGAATTGCATGCAGACAGGAGGTCACCGAGATCCTTTGTGCAGGTTTTCTTACACTTGAATCCCTATTGCCAGCAAAGAAAATTGTACAAAAAACAAGGACATAATTTCCCCCCTAGAGAATGAGGAACAGATATTTTCATCCCAAACGTACATTCAACTATTTATTTAAATAACATTCTATGCTATTTAGAAAACCAAGAGATAATAATTTTTCTTTAGTTTAAAAAAATTATATTAATAAAGAGGTAAAAATAACTCGTTTCCTTAATTTTTTCAGCAAGAGCCAAAGTCTAATTTGGTTCCACCTAAAGTGGGTCCACAATTAAGTCTAGTTATAACAATAATGATGATGACAACAATAATAATAAGAGCTCTTGACTTCAGGTCAAGATGGCAGCATAGGTAAACACAGCACACCTCCTCGCACAACCACATCAAAATTAGAACTAACATTTAGAATAATCTTCACTCAGAACCATCAGAAATTGAGTTGAATGGAAGTCTGCCAACTGCAGAATTAAAGAAACCACATCCATCCAGACTGGTAGGAGGGGCAGAGACATGAAACAGGCTGGTCCCACATCCACGTGAAGTGGATAAAAACTCAGGAGGGATATCTCAGGAGCAAGGAGTCTCAGCCCAACATCGGGTCCCCAAATCCAAGGTTCCAGTGCCAAGAAGATAAGTCCCTATAACTTCTGACTATAAAAACCAGTGGGGATTGAGTCAGTGGAAGAAACTTCTGGAGTCCCAAGAAGTTCCTCTTAAAGAATCTACTCAAAGATTTACTCAAACTCACTCCCTCTGAACTCAGGTACAGGTGTAGCAGCCTGAAAGGCACCAGTTGCATACAGGGAGGAACTGAAGTGTCTGGCATCAAGGCGAGAGCTGGGAGACAGCTTCTCCCAGACAGAAAGGTAGGCAGAAGCCACTGTCCTTCTTCTGAGCCCTCCCCTAACAAAGCCACAGAGCTGGTAGGTGGGTGCCATGTCTGAGACTCCATCAACAAGGCTAACACTATTTGCCCTACCTTGGAGATTCCCTGAGACTCCATCCCACCCAACTTACAGGCCCACCCAAATGTTAACTGTGAATTTTCAATTTGAATGGCTGGTCTTGGCTCATGCTTCACAACTTCCTAAATCCTCTCAGACAAGTAGCAGCCAGTCTCGGTGAGCCCCCAGCCCTCGTACCTCTTGCTTAGTGGCCCCAGACCCAGCACTAGCAGCAGCCAGCCTGGATTCACAGCTTAGCTTTGACTGGGAATCTCCAAGCCCAGCACAAGTAGCAGCCACCTCAGATTGCTTTATAGCAAATGCAGGGTGGCCCTGGGCAGAACAAAGGGTGGGGCTGACCTTGGCCTGCACCATCAGACCAGGGAAACCCCAGACCCTGTACAGCCAGTGGACAGCTACAGACCACATCAGAGCAACTCCACCCTGCTCCTGCAAAGCTGATCCTCCACGGAGGGTGGAATGTGGAGGATGGTGGTCAGTGGTCACAGCCAGTCCTTGTGAAACCAGAAAAGCCAATGTTTGTGCTGCCTGTCACCTACCAGACCCAGCAAGCAGAAACAGGAATTGAATCTTTACAGGCACTTTATTCAGATGGTCGGAGAGCTGAGAAAACAGCAGATATGTACCCTACCAGATCGTCTTAAATTCCATTTTAAAATGGCCCATTTTATAAGGAGAACAAAGTGTAGGTAAGGGGTTTGGAATGCAGGGAAAAGTTAAGTGGATTAAAAAAACTGCAGCATTCTCACCCTGGGTGGTGATCTTTAGCTGTGTCCTGGGCAGTGGTCATCTCACTCTGGACTACAATGGCTCAAATACCATCTTGAATTGCTTGCAGTCCTCCTGAGACACAAAAGTGAAACTGCTTATGGTCTCCTGGAATCAAGGTGGGTCATACCTTCAGTCCCTGGAACAACAGCTTTTATATGCATTGATTACTAAGTTTATTAGCTATCACTTAAACTAAAATTTTCCAACTTTCCAGTCCCCTATCATGTGCAACTGCACATGTGGCCTGTGCCTGTGGCCTGGGTAAATCACTCCCATTTACCTGCCAACATTAATCAAGGCTTAACTACAAGAGGAGGATACATCTCAAGTCCACATGAAAAGTGCACCTCAAATACCCAGCTTGGGTGATAAAGGAGGCTATGTCACTGGACCCTACAGGGCATCTACTACACTAGGCCACATTACCAAGACACGGAGTCAAAGCAGCTCTACCTAATATATAAAAACAAACACAAGGAGGCTGCCAAAACAAAGAGACAAAGAAACATGGCCAAAATGAAAGAACAAATCCAAACTCTAGGAAAAGAACAAAACAAAATGGAAATAAGCAATCTATTAGATGCAGAGTTCAAAACACTGGTTATAAGGATACTCAAGGAATTTAGTGAGGACCTCAAAACCATAACAAATATCCAATCAGAAACAAAGGATACACTAATTGAAATAAAGAATAACTTACAAGGGAACAACAGTAAAGTGGAAGAATCTGAGAATCAAATCAATGATTTGGAACATAAGGAAACAAAAATCAACCAATCAGAACAAGAAGAAGAAAAAAAGAACACAAATAAATGAAGGTAGTGTAAGCAGTCTCTGGGACAACTGAAAGTGTTCCAATATTCACATCATAGGAGTGCCAGAAGAAAAGAAAGAGCAAGAAACTGGAAATCTATTTGAAAAAATAATGAAAGACAACTTCACTAATTTGGTGAAGGAAATAGACAAGCAAATTCAGGAAACACAGAGTCCCAAACAAGATGAGTGAAAAGAGGCCCACCCTAAGACACATCATAATTAAAATACCAAAGGTTAATGATAAAGAGAGAATCTTTAAAGCAGCAAGAGAAAAACAGTTAGTTACCTATAGGGGAGTTCCCATAAGACTGTCAGCTGATTTCTCAAAAGAAACTTTGTAGGCTGGAGGGGGTTGGCAAGAAATATTCAAAGACATGGAAAGCAGGGACCTAGAGTCAAGACTGCTCCACCCAGCAAAGCTATCATTTAGAATCGAAGTGCAGATAAAGGGCTTCCCAGATAAGAACAAACTAAAGGAGTTTATCATCACCAAACCACTATTATATAAAATGTAAGGGATTTATTTTTTAAAGATCAAAACTATGAACAATAAAATGGCAATAAATACACATCTATCAACAATTGAACCTAAAAAACAAACTAAGCAAACAAGAACAGAGGCAGAATCATGGATATGAAGAGCATGAATATTTTGATGGTTGCCAGATGGAGGGAGGTGTGGGGGAATGGGTGAAGAGGAGAGGGGATTAAGAAATACAAATAGGTAATTACAGAATAGCCAAGGGGATGTAAAGTACAGTATAGGAAATGGAGTAGCCAAAGAACTTACATGCATGACCCATGGACATGAACAATGGTGTGAGGATAGCCTGAGGAAGTAAGGGTCGCTGGGTGGAGGAGGACAAAGGGGTAAAATTTGAGACAACTGTAATAGCATAATCAATAAAATATAATTTAAAAAAGAAAAACAAAAAATTGAAATAAATCAATAAAGATTAAAATTAATAATAATAATAATAATAGCTCTCAAGAACATTTTAACACCTTCAAGGTAACTAGTTTGGGTTTTTTTGCTCCTTGGGAGACAAAAGTCCCAAATCTTTATCCCAACTGTCATTGTCACTCTTTGATGTATCTTAGCCCAAAAGTCAGATGATCTTCAGGGTAAGTGTACCCCCTTACAACATCCCAGTCCAGGTGGTCCTTTGAGTGCCCTCTCCAGGCAAGACCCTCCCTGCAGTAAGTCAGGGTGGATTTACCTCACTTTATGAAAGATCAAACTGAGGAGCTGCGTGGCTTGGCTTCACCACAGTGGCTCACCACTTACACTAAGGAGGAGGAAGCCAGCTGAGAGAAAGCGACGGTGATATGGGAAAACTCTCCTCTCTAGGAGAAAACAAATTGCCAAGGAGATGCATTTGAGCATTAGAACACTCTCTACTGCAAATAATAGAAACCTGACTCAACTTTTCCTATAAGAATGTGGCCTAGGATGTGTCCCAGAGCTCAGGACAGGAATGCACAGGGAAATTTGGGAACAAATCTTGTGGTTCAAATCTCTCTCCCAGTCTCTTTCCCTGTGCCTAATCTATTATATTCCCCCAGGTTCTTCTGTTTCCTGCAACCACATGGCAGAAAACATGGCTGTTTCACCACCCACAACACCCGAGTCTGCCCATTATAGGAAAGCCACTCAGGTTCCAAATTCTGTAAAAGGTCTCTGACTGGCCCAGGTGAGCCAGGCACTCTTCTGTGTAGGCCATCCTGGGTCAGGTGTCCAGTAGTGGCCGAAGACTAGAGTGTCTGGTGTTGAAGCCCTGGGAATTGACACCAAGCAGTTGCCATTCTCTGATATTCCTATAGTGTGTCCTACAACTTGCCATGAACTTCTGAATTAAAAGGTTTGGGTATGCACATAAGTTTTCAATTCACTTGGGTAAATATCTAGGAGCTGGATTGCTGAGCTGTTTAGCTTTATAGCAAGCTACCAAAGCCCACTCAAGAAGAAACAGATAAATAAAGTGAGTAGTGCTAGATGGATTAGAGAAGGAATATGTAATGAAAGCCTTCCAACAAAGAAAGTTTCATGCCCAGATGGTTTCACTGGTGAATTTTACCAAACAATAAAGGAAGAAATCTTATCAATTCTACACAACCTTTTTAGGAAAATAAAACAGGAGAGGTACTTCCCAATTCACTATTTGAGGACAGATTTATCCTGATACCAAACCCAGAGAAAGGCTTTACAAGAAAAGAAAACTACAGACTGATATACCACATGAACATTGATATGAAATTCCTCAGCAAATAATTAGCAGATTTGACCCAGCAATATATTAAAATGATAATAAATCACAACCAAATGGAGTTTATCCCAGGAACGCAAGGCTGGTTCAACATTGCAAAATCAGTTTGTGTAATCTGTCAAAAAATTATAGCTCTGTACACCACACAGAGTAAATTTTACTGTATGAAAATATTTAGAAATTGCCCCTAATGTCACAGAATTGAGATGGAATGCACCATGTGACAAGTGAATGTTTGCAAATGGGTGGATCACCCACACTGAAACCAATGAAGAAGAAAGGAGCGAAGACAATATTTTGACTAGATATTGTACAACTAAAGAAAAAAGCTGTAGAGAAACACTCTGGTTGACAAATATGTTCCTCAAACAGACACAGGCTATGAATTCTGAAACGATTTCACATGCAGAGTTGAACAAATAAGTAAATGTATCAGAAATCACGAGAGAGACAGGTTTTTCACTGACTGAGAAAGAAAAAGCAAGGAGGTATGTTAGAACAAATACTATGGTGCTGGACTGGAGTCAGAAATGTCAGTATGATCTTTTTTAAAGCATGTACATGGACATACAGAAATACAGATATGTGCATATGCATGTTTAGACCACATACCTAAAATTCCCCAACTCTGCTGAGAGGGCCTAGAAGCAGTGACACCCCAGTAGCAATAAGCACACCCAGTACCCAGAACTTGATTTCTAACTACTGCTCTCTAATATAAGGAACCAGGACCCTTGGGGAAGAGTGATTCTAGGGCTGCGATCTGTGCAATACACAGATGATCTGGCAGAATCAGAAAATAATAAAGTTCTTTAAAAAAACCTGTATGGTATTCTCCCCAAAACTCCATAACACAGTCTAATTAACTATGAAAAAACATCAGAAAAATCTAAATTGAAGGACATACCACAAAACACCTGACAAGTCCTCTTCAAAAGTGTTCCAGTCCTAAAAGGCAAAGTCATGAAGACTGAGGAAGTGTCACCTACTGAGGAGACTAAGGAGATATGAAGACGGCAACACGGGATTCCAGACTGGGTCCTGGAATCAAAAATGAACACTAGTGAAAAACCATGAAAATCTGAAAAGTCTGTAGTTTAGTTAATCATATGGCACCAATCTTCATTTCTTGTAATAAACAGACCATGATACATATGTTGATATTAGGGATGCTGAGTAAAGAGTACATAGGAACACTCAATGCTATTTTTGCAGTAAGTCTGAAATTAGTTCAAAATTTTAAAAAAATTCAAACCACAAATAGAAACCACTACACACTTATTGGAATGGCTAAAATAACAACACTGCAGGTACCAAGGGCTGGTGAAGTAGCAGAGCAACGTGAATTCTCATACGATGCTTGTGGGAATAAAAAATGGTCTAGGTGCTCTGAGCGGCACGGCCCAGGGGGATTCCCAGACACAGCTCATGCCTGGGTTACAGGCCAGGTCCCCAGTGGGGGGAGTATGAGAGGTAGCCGATCGCTGTTTCTCTTGCACACCAATGGTTCTCTCCCTCTCTTTTACCCTTCCTTCCCTTATATCTAAAAATAAATAAGCAATATCTTAAAAAAATAGAAATGCATTTTTTAAAAATGGCATGGGCATTGTGGAAACCAGTGTGCAGTTTCTTATAAAGGTCAACATACATTTCTCCAACGATCCAACAATCCCACTCATAGGTGTTTGCCCTACAGCAGCGATTTTTCGACCTCATGACACACATAAACTAATTACTAAACTTCTGTGGCACTCCAAAAAATATATTTTTTGCTGACATGACAAAAAATAGGTATACTTTTGATACATTCACACAAGATGGCTATCATTGTATTGGCTGTTTTCATGTTTTTATTTAATGATGAAAGGGAAAAGGAGTCAGTGCCCCTGACTAGTCAGGTAGTGCATGTTTTTAAATTTCTTGTGGCACACCAGTTGAAAACCACTGCCCCAAGGAAATTAAAACTTATGTTCACACACATCTGTATTTGAATCTTTATAGCAATTTTATTCATAATGGACAAAAACTAGTGTCAATGAGTGGCCAGTGGCACCAAATCAACACCAATAAGAATCCCCAGTTTGGGGTGTGGTGAAGAAGAAAACTTTATTCAGGGCAAAACAGCTCAACTGTGATACAGCACGGCTGCAGAACCACCCCCTCTCTAGCCTGGCCTCTCTCTGGCTAGATAGGGTTACTCCTCCCTGGTCTGCTCTGCTCCGTGCCAGTCTGCTTTATGCTCAGCCAGGGAGATGAGTCTTCAGTCTTACATGGAAAGGGAGAGTGGGCTTTTTCCTCCAAGCCAAAGGGGATCTGGCTTTTATGGACAGAAGTCTCCACCCCTGGTTCTTGATGGGTCCATCCTCATCCAAATGAGACCACCAAATCCTCAGTTTGACTGTTTAAAATGCACTGCCTTGATTGGTCAGAATAGAGTTGCTCCAATTGACTGGAGCTATGCAGCTCTGACTGGATGGGGAAAGCCTCAATCCTATTGGTTGAAATAGGATTCTGGGAAACTTTTATACAGGCTGCCTCAGAAGACAGCAGCACATGCTGGCAGACAATTTAGGACAGAGGCCTCTCCAGGAAGTGCAGCCTGTGTGGCAGGACACTGTGCCGAAATGACTGCCAGGCTCTTGCTTTTTATTTGAGCCCAGTTATCCACAAGGAGCCATTCTTAGTAGGTCTTTTTCTTCTTTCAGAGTCCACACTAGAAATAACCCAACTGTCCTTCAACAAGATAAACTCTGGTACGTGGAAACAATGAAATACCACTCGGCAGAAAACAAGGAACAAACTGTTGATACATACAACAATGTGGATGAATCTCAACATGGATGAAAGGAACCAGATTTACAAAGCTCCATACTGTATGATTCCATTTATATGATACTCTCTAACAGGCAAATGTTAGGGCAAGCCAGTAGACCAGAGGCTGGGATCGTGGACTGGTTAACTACCTAGGAGTAAACCAGAAGGGATATTTTAGGGGTGATGAAACTGTTCTTTACCATGATTGTTGTGGTAGTGGCATGACTTTATACATTTGTCCAAGCTAAAAACTATACATCAAAAACAGTGTTTTATTATATGTAAATTACCTTTAAATTTTAGGATTTAGTCCAGTATATATAAAGCCAAAGCCCTCTTGACACCTCATTCTGGTCTCCTCCCCACCTTTCCAGAAGTAAACATTAAAATAAATTTAATATGTGCCTTTCTGACCCTAAAGAAAATTTGTTTAACATGCCTATATGTGTACCCATAGAAAATACACCATTCAACTTTGGTCTTGGGTTTTTTGTTTTGTTTTGCTGTTTGAGAGAGCTGGGGAAAGGAGGGAAAAAGAGAGGAAGAGAAACATTAGGTGTTGAACCAGTGACCCCTTGCTTTGTGGGACAACGACCAACTAACTGAGCCACACTGGTCAGGGCGGTCTTGGAGGTTTTTTTAAGCATAACACTATCCCATTGCATGTATCTTTCTCCCGATGTTTTTTGCTTTGTTTTGCTTTTCTGCTCAGCAATGAAGGTACTTTTCATGGGTCCCCTAGAGGGTCTTTTGAGTCATTCAGGAACACATGCTGATGTGTCACCAGGACCACAAGGGGACACTGTGGGCTTTGCTAACCCAGCCTTCTTTCCCTCGGTCCTGGTTGTCTTTGGGCCCTCTGCTCAGCCCAGGTGGTGAGTGGAGCTGATTGGCAACCATATCCCCACCCTGCAGGCCCAGGGACCTGCCTGTGACCCAGACCTGAGCCAACCATTGCACATTTTATATTCCTTCCCCTGATCTCAGAGATTACATCCAGGAAAAGCTTGAGACCCAACTCTGGCTTACAAACTCAGCCCAAGATTTCAAAGTAATGGGAAACTCTACCCCGAGTTTCACCCCGAGTGGGTGAAGCAATGGGGTGTCAGTCTGGGGCCACTGGCAGACAATGCCTCTCCTGCCTGAAATGGAAGTAGCCCCAAAGGAATCAGAGCCAAGAGATGGAGAATGAGCAGGTCCATAAGGTATTGCCAGAGACCCTGGAGCCACCCCACCCAGAAGCCAGTGCCATCTTTGGACTTCCCAGGAAGCAGCTAATAGAGTGTGCACATTTCTGCTCAACTAACCCAGATGACCATTTATCTGGAACCCCTTAGGCTGGAATTGAACAGGAGGTAGAAATGTGGGGTGATGAAGCAGCCCCCAAATTGAGACCTGGCCCTGTGATGAGGACACAGGCAATGGGCAAGAAGCGTTAGAAGTCTTCTTGCCTGGAACTGAGGGTGGGCAGGCTGGGGTGAAGATCCAGACTGTTGTCAACATGACTTTGATTGTTATAACATTTTTAATGAGATTAACTTTCATTTAGTGAAATGACCAGATCTTAAGTGTACAATTAAATGAGTTTAAAAAAAAAACATACCCATATCCTTACCAAAATAAAGAGCATTTCCATCACCCCCAAAAGTTCTTTTGTGACCCTTCTCAGTCAGACCCTCAACCACATAGGAAACTACTGATCTGCTCTCTATAAATTAACTGGCATTTTCTCAATATTCATATAAATAGAATCATAACCTCTCTACTGCACAATGTACAAATTTATCTACATTGGTATAAGAATCAGAAGTCCATTCCTGCACTTCCAGCCAAGATGGAGGTGTAAGTAGATACACTTTGCATCCTCATACAACCAAAAGAAAGACAACAACCAATTTAAACACAAAAACAACCAGAACTGCCAGAAAATAGAACTGTATAGAAGTCCAACAACCAACAAGTTGAAGAAGAAACATTCATCCAGACTGGTAGGAGAGACAGAGATGAGTAGCCAGAGCAGAAAGGACACACAACAAAGTAGCAGCTGCCAGACCAGGTGGGTGAGACCTTGGCTGGCAGACCAGGTGGTCCCACATTCAATGTGGATAAACTGGAAGGAACAGATGGGGAGTGAGACAGACCACACAACCCAGGATCCCAGTGTGGGGAATAAAACCTCAAAACATCTGGCTGTAAAAACCTGTGGGGGTTGCAGCAGCGGATAAACTCCCAGTCTCACAGGAGAGTTCACTGGAGGGACCCACAGGGACCAAGAACGTACACAAAGTCACCCACCTGGGAATCAGCACCAGAAGGACTCAATTAGCTTGTGGGTAGCAGGCGAAATGACTGAAAGCTGGCCAAGAGCTGAGCAATTGGCATTGTTCCCTCTCTGACCCCTCTCCCACATACAGCAGCCACTTGGGTTGTCCCATCCTGGAGAATACCTAAGCCTCCGCCCCTTACAATGTAACAGGTGTGCCAAGACAAAGAAATACCACCCAAATGAAAGAACAGATCAAAGTTCCAGAAAAAGAACTAAGCAACAGGGAAATAGCCAACCCATCAGATGCAGAGTTCAAAACACTGGTAATCAGGATGCTCACAAAAATTATTGAGTATGCATATCAAATAAAGGAAGAAGTGAAGGCTATACAAAGTGAAATAAAGAAAAATATACAGGGAACCAACAGTAAAAGGAAGGAAACTGGGATTCAAATCAATGGAGCAGAAGGAAGAAATAAACATTTAACCAGAACAGAATGAAGAAACAAGAATTCAAAAAAGTGAGGAGAGGCTTAGGAACCTCTGGGACATTTTTAAACACTCCAACATCTGAATCATAGAGGTCCCAGAAGGAGAAGAGAAAGAGCAAGAAGTTGAAATCTTATCTCAAAAAATAATGAAGAAGAACTTCCCCAATCTGGAAAAGGAAATAGACTTCCAGGAAGTCCAGGAAGCTCAGAGAGTCACAAAGAAGTTGGAAGGAAGCACACACCAAGGCACATCATAACTACATTATCCAAGATGAAAGGTAAGAAGAGAATCTTAAAAGCAGCAAGAGAAAAAGAGACAGTTACCTACAAAGGAGTTTCCATAAGACTATCAGCTGATTTTTCAAAAGAGACCTTGCAGGCAAGAAGGGGCTGGAAAGAAGTATTCCAAGTCATGAAAGGCAAGGACCTACATCAAAAATTACTCTATCCAGCAAAACTATCATTTAGAAT